GAAGTGACCACCATCTACACCATGGACGAGGGCGTGCAGGCCGGGGAGGGCCTCCATGCGGAAGGCCTCCCGGTGCTGTATGACCAGGCCCAGCTGGTGCGCATGCTGAGCGAGGGGCTGGAGAAAGAACTGCCCAAAGACGCATCGCTGATATCACTTGGCGCGAGCAAGTCGGTGTGGGGGAAGTTGTGGGTGGCGGCCGAGAACACCTTCACGATTTGGGGGACAGTTGTCGTTCTGATTCTCACGCGCATCAAGGAGATCGGTTTGAAGCAGGCCCTCACTGCCGAAGAGCCCTACGGAGAGGTGAGCAGCACACACAGGACAGCAATGCACACACTGCACACACAGCAGGCTGCCCCTCATTCTGTTGCTCCCTTTCCTGTCAGTTGCCCTTGGGTGGCCTGGGCACGTTCCGCATCAGCGCATCCCTCTCGGTCTTCCTGCGGGACATATTCACCGAAACGGGCGTCAACTGGGGCTTCCAAACCCTGTACGTGCCGTCCATCATCCCCTTTGTCCTCGTCTCCCTCCTCACCATGCTGCTGCACCGCAAACGGCTGCAGGCGTCACCATGGAGGATATTCACCGAGACCGCCATGCGCCTCAAGACACCTGTCATCGCACTGTGTGGTGCCTTGTCGCTGGTGAATCTGCTGCAGAGGGCGCCAGAGGGGCGCGATTCGCCAGCCACGACGGTGGGCCAGACGCTGTCTGCCGCTCTGGGTGTCGGCTGGGTGGTCATCGCACCCATACTCGGAGCTCTCGGCAGCTTCTTCTCTGGGAGCACCACGGTGAGTTGGTGAGGCATGCGTGGAAAGACGATACTTGAATCAATGGCTGGTCTTGGTTTTCCTTAATCAGGTGGCGAATCTGACGTTTGGTGATATCCAACGAGTGGCGGCCGAAGATCTGGTGAGTGGGCTGAGATGACTAGAGATGGCGTGCTCTCGTGTTGCTGACCTGACTGTTGGTCTTGTTGGTCTGTCAGGAAATGTCCACGACATCATTCCTGGCCCTGCAGTCCATGGGTGCCGCACTGGGCAACATGGTGGGTGAGAGGTTCAAGAGACAGAAAACGATCATTCCTGCGCGTCTTCACTTCCCCTGTGTTTGCTGTCTGTCTGTCTGTCTGCCTGTCTGTCTGTCAGATCTGCATCCACAACATCCTGTCTGCAAGGACGGTGTTGGGCGTGGAGGAGCCCGAGGGCGTCTTCATCAAGAAGACGGCCCTCCCAGCGCTTGTCTACTACGTCATCGGCACAGCACTCGGTGCGCTCCTGATCTTCACCACTGCCTGGTGGGGAGCCGTCGACGTCGCGTGAGAGAGACTTCTACTGGCTGGGCCATCCATCTTTTTGGCCTCTCTGATGACAGACATCGTCTGCCGCATTTATACATACACACACACGTGTGGTTTCCGGTCGTGGTGTGATGGATGTCCGTTATGGTGCCTTTTTGGGAGGGGAGGGGAGTGAGTGTTGATTCGCTATCGCGATAGCCTGCAGTGTCTTGGTTACTTACATTCATGTGGTGCAGTCAGTGTGGTGTGTTTTATAGCCAGGCAGGGAGGTAGATCGATCCGTGTCGGTCTGTCAGCTCCCGACGAGGCAGTCGTCCCTTTATGGAGCTGCGCTGTGCGGGAGCAGAGGGCGGCGGACACCATTAGGCAGGCCACGTTTTTGCGGCCGGTTTCTAGTAGGCAAGAAGGAAGACGGCTGGCTGGCCTCACATTCCTTTGGATGTGTAAGGCAGGAGGATCTGGTGGGACATGCAGGAGTGGTCCGTCATGAACACATACATGGATGGATGGAATCGTTGGTCGATCATTGCTGCCGGCACATATCGATGGAGCCATCTCAGTGGCTCGCTCAGCACGTTGGTTGATGCGCATGAAAAGACCATGCAATAGATTCATGCAGTCATTCCATTGTACTCAACTGACTGGCTGGTGTGTTGGTCTTGGCCGTCTAATCCGAAAAGAGAGCCCCTCCGCAGGGACGGTGAGGGCCGCCGTTGCCCCTGCATCACAGAGAGCACCAAGTGACGCATTATGTGCCTGCGAGTCTGTATGTGTGGGTGTCTGAATGCCTACCACACAGGTCCCCAAAGCTGTGCCCACTTGTCCGCCTGGTACTGGCGGAGACCGTACAGCTCCAGCCAAATGTTACCAGACTCAGCAAACTGAGCACCACACACATCTGTCTCTCGTCTGAGGTCTCTTTGGCTGGCTGCGGGGCCTCACCACTCTGGGACTGCCACCGAATCCCTTCCCCTGAGGCGTGAAAGCACACCGACCGGCCTCCTCGTACTTGCGGGCCTTCTCCGACAAACGATGGGAGTGGAGCGAATACAGCCGCTCGTGAACCGATCCCTGACAGCCACAGAGAGACACGTGGTCCACAAGCACTTGTCAAGCAGCAGCCATGCAGGCCACGCCTTGTCTGCTGACCCTGGAGAGCCGAGCAGAGTTCTTGTTGATTCGGGGCGAGTACGTCTCCTCCTTGTTCACCGGTGCCTCCTTGGGGCCTTTGCTGGCGAGTCCGTACAGGCGCTCGTGGATTGGTTCTGCAGTGACGGACACAGAGGGCGGCACTCACTTTCCCCCTCTCCCCTTCCCCTCCCAATGTCGAGAGAAGCTCACCACTTCGTTGCAGCCTGGCGCTGGCCTTGTTGATCACGGGACGAAATGTGAGCTGTGCCATCGAGACCGGTGCAAAGCGGGCGTGAGTTGCTGACAAAAGCTGCTTGAGAAGCGAGCGAAGCGTTTCAAAAAGCCGTAAGAAAGAGTTCCTTAAGTTCGGCAGAGAAAGGGCCAGAAAACTCGTTGGAAACCTATGACGATGCTGATTGAGGCGATTATACGTTGATGCGACGACGATAAGAGTGGACTTTTTCGCGTGCGAGCTCCAATGGGGGCTATGGGGGCCTTTTCTTGGGAGCCTGGCCAATTTCGACTGGCGAACTGGCCAAACCGTCTGGTGCCGCCATCAGCGTCGACAATGGTGCACAAGAACGACGTCGCCCGACGAGGGGCTACGTCATTGAATGTGAATGTGTTGCTCAGGCTGTCTCCTCACTGGCTGACTCAGTCTGGCAGCAGTGCTTGCCGTTTCACATCCACATTCGCATTCAAGAAGGCACGAATTCATCGGTCCATCCATATGTATGCCAACGTCGGCAACCTATCCAAGAATGCTTTTTCTCCTGAACCACCATGAGTGCTCCTGAATGACACAGGGCAAAAAGACACACAGCATGGCTCTGTTCCTGCCTGTTCTCTGCCCATTTCGCTGCAGACTTACACTTATCTCGAAGACAACGGTGTCCAGAAGGCCGCTGAAGGCGAGGATGCCGCCCAAAGTGGCAAAGCTCTTTGTTACAAACTCCCACAGGTCCCTTCTCGTCTCATGCACGCGCACCACGAAGGGCGTGAAAGAGTATGAAAGGTGGAGGCCGGGCGATGAGCCCATGGGCGACTCGGCCGGATGAGAGACGTGCGACGATGCCGGCATGTCCAGGATTTTAGAGCTCTCCAAGACCGACACCTGAAGACGAGAAAGAATGTGCCTTGATGCTTGTGGACGAGAGCATGTTGTGTACGGGGCAGCGCACCTGATAGGAATGTACGGGGGCCGCTTTGCTCAGGGGGTAATACTCTGTGGGGATGCCTTTGAGGTGGTAGACGTAGCGCATTGGAGGATACCCACTCGGACCTGGCACACATAAGTACGCCAGCCGGTCAGCATCGTGTCTGTCTCGCTCCTCCTCTGTTTGTGGCCTCACCTATCGGCCCTCTGTGGAGGTGCCTGTTTGGCTTGTCCGTCAGGGCCACATTGTTGTGCACACTTCCGTCCCCGGGCAGCTCAGGGCCCATTGTCAAGACATCCACCCGATGGCTGAACGGACACATTCAGCTTTCATAGGCAAGCGCAATCGACAGCTGTGCCAAACTCTCACCTCCAGTTGAGAAATAGCGCCTCTGGCAGCAGCTGGCGTGAGCCGTGGTAGACCGGCGTGTTCATGCCTGGTGCAGCACCTGTGTCTCGGACAGAGACTGTCAGATGACCTGCCCGCTGCACAAGACGACATGGATGAAGAGCAATGAGGCCGAATGAATGGACTGAGATCACACTTGTGCACGCGCACCTTCGGAACAAGGAAGAAGACCTCCAGCCGGCACCCATCATAGCTGTTGAGCCCGTGTGAATCATCAGGCGCATCCAAGGAAAGCTTGAACATCTCTGCGTGCGGCTTGCGCCTCGCCCTGGCCTTCATCCGGCCTGTGCGGCCCCAATGTACGTCAGTATGGCTCCCCTTCGGTAGTCGATGGGGCTTGACAAACGACAGCATATTGCTGCGACTCTTAGTGTCGACGGCAGTCAGCTCGAGCACTGCAAAAGGACAAGTAAGGCGCAGCAGAATCCATGGGTGGGCGGTTCTGCACTGTGGCTGCATCATCTGACGTTCGCAAGGGATGTGTGGGAAGGAAACATTGAGGAAGATGTCCACCAGCTGCGCCTCCTCATTGACGCCGCTCTCTGCATCTGGAGGCGGCCTGGTGTCGACGACCATCTCTTCCTTCAGATGCACCTCCATGAAGAAGCCCAGCTCCGAGAAGAAGAGGCTGAGGATGATGGCAGCTGAGAAGAGCGTGAGCACCCCAGAGAACGCGGTGTTGATGCATAGATCAGCTGCAGGCTTGGTGAAAGAGTCCAGCGCGGAAAGGCCCATCGCGATGTGTCAAAGAAAGAGAGAGGACGGGGGAGATGCAGTGCAGAAGGAGGAGGGGGCCCACGCAAAAGGCGAGCTAAGCCGAGTCTCCAGGGGCTCCCTTCTTCAAGTTCTCGTCGGAGGATGGCTGAGGCAGATGCTGTCGTCGATGGCCCTCAGTCCCCACGCCACTATCACTTCACAGACCGGGCCACGTCTCGGGGGAAGGGGCGGGACGATGGGAAGGTGTTCCGTGATGAGGAACACCTTCCGGCATACCGCTGCACTCATTGCATGATGATGAGGACGGATGAGGCGACAGAAAGGCCTATCAGGTGACCAACAGGCAAACGAGGTGTCGCTCTTCTCCCATTCCTGCGTTCTTTGTCCGTCCCGCTGCAGCCGCGAGTCTCTGGCTTCGTCGAGAAGACAAGCAGTTGAAGATCCATCCACTTGCCCCACGTAGGACAGAAGCAGATGAGTCACATGTTGGTTACCGTGTGTGTGTGTTTGTGTGTTTGTGTATTTGGTTCAGATTTTTCTGGCTGCTTGAGCGCCTTCGTCAGCCAACAGTTCCCGGCAAAGCGGCAGGTCCACTGCCGCCTCCCGTGTGCGCCGGGCCTTATCCGCTGTTCGTCCCCGAGACTATTACCTTCACAAAAGGGAGGCCGAAGAACGTATACTACTGCGACAGACATGGGTGATCCATATCTCAGAGCACAGAACACACATTCGTCTCGATGCAGTCAGTGATGGTGTGTCTCCAGGCACCTTCGCGTGCTGCGTCAAGCGAGTCGGCTCCAGTTCACGGACCTCCCAAAGCTGTTCGGCCGCATAGCCCGGGTGAGACGTCAAATGCCGGCTCAGCTGCCTCTCGGCTGCGAGCTGGAGGAAGACAGGGAAGAGACATTCGGCTGGGGAGGGGCTGTGACGCTCGACATGATAGACCTGGGCAAGACGCTGCGGAGCTTCTTTGGGGGAGATGAGCCGAGGAACCAGGCCAATTCGGCACCACAGACAGGTGGACATACCACTTCAATGGCGTTCCCTCATCAGTATCCATCTTTGGTATTGATCCAGCCCCTGGTTCCCCTCAGATGCGTCTCTCACGCCAGAACTCGCCAAAAATCAAGGCTCAGGCCGCCAAACCAGCGACGCACCCTCAGGCGTCCAGCGGTTCCCTCAAGCTGCCCCGTAACATGCTGCTCATGCGTGCAGCGAAGCCTCTACGCGGAGGTTCTGTCGAGGAGGGCAAAGAAAACCAGGAATGGGTCGGCACAAGGCGAAGCTCTGCAGCGTAAGACGAGACAAAAGGCACCCGTTCCGTATATACGGCTTTTGCGTGTGCCTTTTCAGCTATTCTGTAACCGACAGCAAGGAGGAGGTTGCGATGATCCACTTCGAAGATGGGGCGACAAAGGTCATGACGGAGGGCGAGTTGACAAGGGCGTGCAGCACTGCACGAGCGCAGAACTCGACCATTCCCGTAAGAAAGCCAAGCGCTCGCCTTGCACATGACTTCATTCCCGTGTGTCTCTCTATTCTTAGTGGAGTGACGTGTCTCACATCCAGGCCATTGTCGCACCACCCAAGGCATGATCTGAACTCACAGAAGGATGGGCCCGCAAGCATTGTGTACTCACTTGGTTTGCAGGAAAGTCGGTCTATCGTGTATGAGTACAATGCATGGCGAAAGCCTTCTGCCGGCCCTCCAGCGTGGGTACGCGAACACGATTTCTCGAGGATACCGCCCCCCAAAGAGGTGAAATATAAGGGGAGGACGCCAGAATGGCCATACCTGACCTGTTGTTTTCAGGAGCGAGGAGACGCTTTCCAAGTGGTGGATGTCAAGAACATCGTGTCATCGATCCCTCTGTCCATCAATCACTTCCTCACCATGTATTCGGCTGTCTTTGTCCGCCCTGATGGCTGCTCACCTGCATTTCTCTCCTTCAGGCATTTCGCTGTGGAGTTGCACAAAGGTGTCTTCGAGTTTGTGAGGGACCGGCACTCCACTTACTGGCTGATCGGTGCCAAAAAGCTGCGGATCGGCAAGTTTTTTGAGCGCCCGGCCGCGTCAGCGGCAGTCACGCCCGACCGCATGCCCATTCTGATCAGGTCAGCACAGCAACTTCAATCGATTGCTGTGTGCCTGGGGGGCCTTGGGACCTTCCGCGTTGTTTGATGTTCAATGCTAGATACTACTCCGAGGACGCTCTGCTGCGCGCATCGATGTCGCCGACATCTGGTAAGTGATGTCGTTTCTGATTGGTCCGCGCTTTTGAGAACATGCATGCATTCCCGGCTGTAGGTGCTCGCTTCGAGAAGATGCAGGCAAGAATGCTCGGGCACTATCAAGGCATCAAGGTTGGTGACTGCATATCACAAACATCTTCTTGTTTTCTGAAGCAGACCTGCATCGCTGTATGCAGGACAAGCTGTCGATCGACTCGTTGCTCATTCGTGAGTACGAGGATCCCCAAGTCGCGATCCCAGCCTTCGAAGCCACAGACCTCACTGCACTCAAGAAGCACCTGAGAGGTAGCGAATCGCATACTAGCGAAGCTCTCACATTGAGTGACCCGTGCCGTGTTTCTCTCTGTTTCATCAACAGCATATACGTCGCCACGCGAGGATGTCGCGTCCCCTCCTCCTTACCAACCGTTCCAGAGCGAAGAGAGGCGATTCCGCCCTTCAGTCCATCCCCCTAGCCCCACCCCTTTCGACTCGCCCCGCAGACGTGCAATCCATGAGGCACTTCAGTGGGCGTCGGGTCAGGGGCGGCTGATGGCCTACGAGAAGCAGGGATTCGTCAAGCGGAGGGTGCCCAGTGAGTCGCAGACAGAGGTCGTCGGCAGGCCGTACAAGATGTACAAACGGAGAGGGGGCGAGCTCTGCTTTCCGTCCAGCGGACACATGTACCCATTCAGGCCAGCCCCTGCACAACCGGCGACACGTGAAGAGCGCCCATCCGTCAGCGAGAGAAAGATGGACCTGGGTGTTGATCTGTGGCTTCCGGAGTCGTCACGACCGCAGGACTTTGTGCCCCAGCTGCGACTCCGGGTGGTGGAGGTGCCGAGACACAGATTCCGGCCCTCTGTGCCTGACTCGCCTCCCAAGCTGCGGAGGCCTGTGTCGTACGGCACTGGCGTCCATGTTTTCCCTGCTGCTGCTGATGGTTGGGTGAGGAGAGAGAGGGTGCAGAGAAGGTCTATCGGTGACATAAGGAGAGAGACAGCCATGATGCTGGAAGACCTTAACGGCAGGTGAATGCGCGTGAGATTCTGTGTCCATGCGTCCATTTGTCCCTTCATGAACCACCGAGATAAGGTGTGCGGAAGATGTGAATAATCCCCCTTCGCGTGGCGCAAAACCGATGGGTCACTAAATTGGTGCCAGCAGAGACACCGACAGGAGAGATACACGCTGCTCGCTTCTGAGCAGAGCATCCGGTGAGACGCAGAGAAGGAACACACTCAGGCAGAAAAGAGCACACATACAGGCATAGAGCCCTTCAAGCCGGCAAGATCACGTAGACAAAAAGACAGCAATAGTGAGTGCTGCATGCTTGGCTGCCCCTGGCGGTCCTATCTGCCGGCTCGTATGCACTCCCGCGCAGCTCAAGACGCCTCCGTACGCAAGCCTACCGCTCACTCTCTCGCTCGCACATGCAATGCAGCCCCCTCTCAAATGTGTGCATGGCTGTGCATTCAGGCCTGCTGCCCCTCAAGTGCTGCCCGCCACTTCGCCAGCAGCAGGCTGCGGCCGTATCTTTGTGGATGTCTTGGCCTGCCGTTTGACCTCTTCTCTGCTCTTCGCGACCTGGGACTTGCCGTCGCCCGCACGACACCCGAATATTGCCCAAGATTGCCCACTTCTCACCCTTCAGCCATCAGCAGTGGGAACTGATGACCTGCACCACACACAGACAGATCAAACATGTCTTCACTGGATGGATGGATGGATGGATGGATGTGGTGGCTCACTGACTGACCACATGGCGTCTTGTTGGCCGCCGATGAGCTACCAGCAGCAGCGGCAGATGAGGAGGCCGCCATCACCGAACCAACACGCCTGCAGTGATTGATGAGCCGACAAGACACGGAGAGAGGTGCACAGATGTGTCAACGCATTGAGGTGACTGAACGGGTCAGGGAGTGTGTGGCCTCCCTCTCAACTCTGCTATCTGTCAGCTGAGCGGCCCGCCATCCCACCACATCAGTCGACAGGGCGGCGGTGTGACGGATGACTCCGCTGATTCGCTAAGCCGTTCTCTCAGCCGAATGCCCCACACTCCCCAATGCACAGCTGTCCGAAAGGAGAAAAGGCCGCCAAGGACTCGTAGGGCTCAGGGTTTAAACCCTACCCTGTCACCCTCTTCAGCGCCCTGCCCCACCCCGGGTCTGCCAATTGGCTCCTTGTCAGCCTTGGTCACGGCCCACTGCACGAGATCTGTCAGCTGTCCCCTCTCTCTGTCGGCACACAGGCGGCTGCTGGCGGCACAGGCAGGTGCGCAATTGAGGCGGACGTCATGCACACGGTGGGCACGTGACACGCCGAGATGATGCATGTGCTGTCTGGACGGTTGGTGCTTGGATCTGTGTGTGGTGTGCTGCAGACGTCGTGCTGTGTGTGAGGTGCAGAGCGGTGTGACAAAGGAGTGAGGGCACTCCAACAACTGGTACGCCGAGACAGATGGGCACGTGTGCATAGCGGGACAGGCAGGACTCACACGCACAGATGTCTCCTCTCTCTGTGTGGCGTGTGTCATCTGAACGGATGCAGATGGCTGATGGCGATGATATGTGCTGAAGGGAGAAGGATCGGCCGATGAGCCGACGGACGGACTGAACTGAACTGAATCTCTCACTATGTCGCCTTTGGTCGTATGTGCGTCAATCTCACTGTGTTGTGTTGTGTTGTGGGGCTTTGCGTGTCGGTCGGTCTGGCTGCCACTGTCATCACCTCCTGGCCCTCCACCTCTCAGCCGTCAGCTGCCATGAGTGCGTCGGCTGATGAGTGGGGGGCGGGGGAAAGATGACAGACAGACAGACAGACAGACAGACAGAGAGGGAGGATTGGGTGGCCGGCTGCACAAAGGAGTCGCTGTGTCGTGTGGCGGTGGCCGTCTGTCTGTGAGCTGTCCTTCTGTGATGTGTGCTCGCGAGAGTTTGTTGATCTCTCGTCGATGCATCCGTCACACACGGCCGGCTCACAGACAGACAGACAGACAGACCGACACACACAGACTCTGATCTGCCTGTGAGAGAGAGACTGACCTTCTTCTATCTGGTACCATGTGTTGGTTTCCCTCATGTGTGTCCTCCCCCCTCTCTCTGTGGGCATCTTGCATCTCAGCTCTCAACTTCAGAGCGTCAACCCATGAAGGGTGTTGGTGCTTTTGGGTTGCCGGGCGGTGACAGAGATGCGCACAGAGGGGGTGGGTGAGGGAATGAATGGACAAACACACGACTGCTGATCCATCACACCGACACGGCAGTAGCTAATTGGATGGATGCTTAGATCTTTTGGGCCGCATAGAAGGGATGTGGCTGCTGCCATGATGGCCCTGTTGTGGCCATGATGGCCCTGCTCACCATGATGCCATGCTGCCACCGACTTTTCATACGAGTTGTGCAGTTTTCAAACTCCTTCTCTGCTGCTGCGTGTGTCTGGCTGGTGCGTCTCGCTGTGTGTATGTGTTTGGTGGTCGCCTGGGTTGGGAGTATCCCTTAATTCGTGTGTCGGAGACACACCGAGGGAGAAAGGATCATGCCACTTTTCGGCATGATTTCATTCGGCCTCACTTGGTTGCCGGCTTCTCTCTCTCTTCCTCATGCGTGTGTGCGTTCTGTGCGTCCGTATGCGTATGTGCACCAAACGTATACGGTGAGTAGGCCGTGGTCTGTTGTGTATCTTCGTGTTGCTTTGGGTGGGACAAGCCGCCAGCTTTTCACTCCTTCTCCCCTTTCCATGCGACCACGTGTGTGTGGGCGTGTTGATGACCGTATCAAGTGTTCATGCGCCGTCGATTACGTGATGCATATGTGCTGTGAGCGCGAGCGCATCGCAAGTGTGGACAACAGGGGAAGAAAGAGAGTGCATCTATCAGCCATGATGCTGGAAGACATTAATGGGCGGTGAATGCTCGTGAGAGTCCTCTTCATCAACCACCCATGGACAAGTGTTGCGTAGAGATGGAAATCCCGCGCGATCTCCGTTTACCGACCTTGGCTAAGAAGCTGGAAAGGCGGGAAGGCAGAAATGAATGTTCTGAGGCTGTTCGTCGTCGTCGCAGCCATCGCGAGCAAGGCAGCCTATGCTTTAACGAAGATCCAAGCCTCCTCTCGCCACACGGTCAGCCGACAGCCGGCTATGTCGGAGCTGAATGTAAGGCCAGCACAACAGGCAGATCTTGGTGCGAACACAACCTTGCACTGACGTGTGTCCCTTTTGCTGGCAGTACGAAGCCAAGGGGACGTCGCTGACGGCCTCGGCAGCCTTCAGAGGCGCAGATCTGCGTCAGCGGCAGACGCCACCCGAAGACACTAAGTACGTCCACGAGACCCGGTACAATGTGCAAGGCCTCGGCGAGAACCTCCCCTATCCATCGGTGGACTACTTGGGAAGGTACGTAGAAAAAACTCAGTCTTTGGAGCACAGCACAAAATTCTGTGGCTGAATGTATGTGCACGTGATTTGCAGTGGATACGACACCATCTTCGGTGCGCAATGTCATGGGTAAGAAGATGAAAATGGAGGCGCACACACATGGATGGATGGATGGATGGAGGGGTGTGTGGGTGTGTGTGTGGTCAATGGTTGCTCAGGTAACCCCGAGGGTGATCCCGATACCCAGATCGACCCCGGCTGGAGGGAGCCTGCCGCTCAGCTGTCATTCAGCCAGGACGGCCCCTTCCTGTCGCGAGACATGCGGTACCTTCGCCCAGTGGAGGGATGGGGACGACCTGAATACTCGTGCCGTAAGGAGCGCTGATAAGACGTCAAGCTATGATCTCGAATGCTGAACATTCTTACAGACCAGACGCAGAGTGTTGAGGAGCTCAGCTCTCTGAGCGACTATCGGTCATCCTTGTCCATCGATGTGTCCGTCAGCGCCTCGTACAATGGATTCCTCGCGTCTGGATCTTTCTCGGCTTCTGCGGGTTACGACCGTTTCAAGCGCGACATCGTAAAGACCAGCAGCGAGAGATTTGACATGAACACTTACTGCCTGCAGTTTGTGGCGGGTAAAAGGCTCTCAGCGACCGTGTGTCAGTCGCATTGCGGCAATCCATGTGTCCATTTCTGTTTGTCACAGGTCTGTCGCCATCGATGAAGATCGAGCCGACGGAAGCGATGAAGAAAGCCATCGACAAGCTGCCCAACGACATTAAGAAATCGAACCTGGAGCGATGGCTTGATTTCTTTCGGGTGTGTACGGGGAAAGAGCTCTTTCCTCACTTGTGGGTCCACGACGCCTTCGTGTGCAATTTGATCAGATCTATGGGACGCACGTTGCAGTGCAGGTGCGTCTGGGCGGCAAGATGTCACAGCAGGTAAGAAAAGCTGGGAACCGTTTTCTCCATCTTGGCGTGTCCCTGTCCCGGTTATCTCTGCACAGATCATCATGAAGTCCAAGGATGTGACCAAGCTGAGGGCAGAAGGCGTCGACGTGAAGGCGGCCATGTCCATGTCATATGGACCGTATAGGTACAGAAAAGACACGTGACGCACACTGTACTTATGTCTCAGTGTGGCTGCAGTGGCAAGGTGAAGATGAAAGCATCGCAAGACACCAAATCCAAGGAAAAACTCGAGAACACGTCCAAGACACAGCGCACCCTCGTGCTGGGCGGCATCCCACCAGCCAGCGGCGCTGACAGCGCTGAGGGCTTCTCACAGTGGGCGGAGAGCGTGAGAGAGGCGCCGATGCCCGTCAGGTAAGCACACTGTGACACGGGAAAACAAAGGCACCTACGCTGTGTCTCGCTCACCTTCTCTGTGCATTGACGTCAGGATCGCCCTGGCGCCATTCGACGAGATATTTGACGCAGTCAAATCCAAGAGCGCCACCTACCAATTGGCCTATGAGAAGTATGCCGAGAAATACGGCGCGAAGGATGCGGGGGCCCTCGGAGTAGCCGGGGCCGCACCGAAATCGGTCAAAGAGATATTGGCTGACTACAAGCCGCACAAGTGCACATTCGACCAGTCGTCGTATGAATGCAAGTGCCCGAGCAATAAGAAAGTCAGTGCGTGCGGAAGGCTTCCATCCGTGAGGAGAGGTGTTGCACCCTGTGTGTGTGTCGTTGTGTTCTCTAGATTGGTTTGGGGTTCCAGCTGCAGGCCAACTGTGACGACGGCAAGTTGGACAAGGCATACTACACAAACTGCCCGGTAAGCGAGCGAGCGACACACAGATATCCACAAAGACATCTCTCATCATGGGTGTGGGTGCCTTTGACGCTGATGCGCTGATACAGGTCGGCGTGAATGGCTGCATCGGATCGCAGAAGGACCTGAGTGGCGACGACGAGAGCTACACCTGGCTCATGTGCGGCCCATCGGAGATCCGCGGTGTCATCCAGCGATTCGTCAAGGGCGAAAACGTGGTAACGGCCACCTGTCCAAGCGGAACCAGAGTCTCTCTCGGCTTCAAACTGCAGCAGAACTCAGATTCCCCTGACAAATGGTGCGAAGCAGTAGAGGAATGGGACTCTGTTTGTAAGGAATTCTCTCCCTGTGTAATCCTGTAGGATTGCCGATGGGTGCACGGCCAACGAGCAGTCTTGCAGCCTTGGCTTGAAAAATCAGGGAGGCAACGACGAAGGTGATCCAAGACGGAGACACAAGAGAGACGAGAGAGACGGCCTTGTGCCTCACCTGATAGCACACCCCGGTCTGTCGGTTTGCTTGCGTGTCTGTCCTGGTTGATGCAGGTTATGTGTGGGTGGCATGCTTCCCCGCAGACACACCCGGTCAGCCGAGCTCAGCTCAGCGGGAGGAGGGGCGGCAACAAACACACAAGTATCTCATCCATGTGTACGTGTCCGTGTCAGGCCTCAGCGGCATCAGAAATGTGGCCAAGGCCGGCGACTTGCCGAGCAAATCGCCCTCTCTTTCCTGCCCGTCGGGCAAGAAGATCATCGCAGGTCTCAACATGCAGACCAACTCAAAGATGGGCCGCGTCTCCAAGTACTTTCGCGCCATTAGTGCGGGAGGGCGAAAATACACGACTTACACAAGTGAGTGGAGCTGAGAGCTGAGCAGCCGAAGATAAGTCACTGAGGCACTCGAGGGCATGCTCTCTCTCTCTCTGTGTGTCTGTGTGTGTGTGTGTGTCTGTGTGTGTGTGTGTCGGTGTGTGCAGAGAACGAGAAGGGCAATGACGGGTACTTCGCGTGGATAGGCTGCTCCTAACTGTGTGCTGTATGTCCACACACGTGTTGGCGTGCATACGTTAACGATGCACTTAGCGTGTAGAAAGAAGGCATTCTCTCATCGCAGGCACCATTGATGGTACCGAGCATGGACTGACTCATGTTCGTCGCCTCGGCCATGGCACACACACACGGACATGGCCCATCTCTGCACATCCATTGACATGGCTAGTGTCTCATCCGTCTCATAAACGGGCCCCGCTACTCTGACGCGACACACCGGCAGATAGATAAATGGCCGCAAAACATCCTACGATGCACGATAATACCACAGGGCACATCGATCCTGTGTGCAGTGAGTGCTGCCTGCCATAAGAAACAAGTCAGTCTCCATCTATCTAATTTGTCGGCCCACATGGCGGCCGCCAGCAAAAGGCAAAAAAGCGGCAGCAAAACGAACGAACTATCAGCGTCTCAACGGCAGAGGCACTCATCAATCACTTACCGTCGTCCGATCTATCAGCCTAGCAGCCCAAAACTCATCAGACGTCACATCTGCAGACATCACCAAGTGTGGAGCATGAAACACTCTCTGGGGGTGTGGTGTGTGGGGGAAAGGCAAAAAGCTTGGCCGAGGAGGGGGGGGAGAGGACAGGAGAGGGGAGGGAGGGGAGGTGACCGGCATGTGCGTCCACAAATATCACATCCGTCGGTCAGGGTGGGTATAGCAGTGTGTGTGTGTGTGTATGTCAAAATCGCACGTATTCGTGAAGAATACATGCGTGAAGCCCTCCCCTCCCTCCCCCACTCCCCTCGGCCGCCCCACACGCCCGCCCCACTACCCACTGTGTCTTCAGTGCCTCTAGCCCAAGCACGAGGCAGTACCTACGTGGTCCTTTCAAAAATCCCCTCCCTCCCTCCATCCCTCAGCACAGCCCAGCCCTGCCACCGTGCAAGTAAGGTACCAATCCATCCACAGTGCTCGGCCATGTACCCTCCCCCTCCCCCCTCTCCCCCCTCCGTTGTTCACTGTTCCTTTTCCCGCTCTTCGAGCAGGCTGCCCGACGTGCTCTGGCTCGACAGACTGCGCTTGACGCCCTCCGGTGACTGCTGCCCGCTGCTGCTCTTCTCCTGCTGCTTCATCTGCAGCGATGGCTCTCGCTTCTCAAGGCCCGTGTGCGGCAGGATGGCACCCATAATGAAGAAGAAGCCCATGACCCAGAAGCCGTAGTAGCTGACGGCGCGCCATGCGATGAAGGATGCCGAGAAGGTAAAGAAGACGAAGGGCATCTGGCTGTAGTGGATGAACGTCTGGGAGACGATCCATCGCACCTGAATGAAGGCATCCATTCATTAAATAAGGGATACAGGAGGGCAAGTGTGGCGCATCCATGGGTGTCTGCGTGCGTACCACTTGGTAGAATTTGGCCATGATGGGCCGGTCCTCCATCGGCCATCGGTAGCGCCACTGCACACAAGGACACAACACGCCCATACGGTGACAGACTCGTCCGTCCCGTGTGCCATCCATCTTTTCCTATCCCTCGACTGACTGACCACAAGGTCTTGGCTGAGTTCAAACACAGGGTAGAGTGAGAAGGCCAGGTAGTAGCCCGCATCCCAGCCATGCCAAAACGCACTGATCGTCGTCGTCACCAACTTGCGCAACAGAGGAATCCTGCACACACGCACAAGCACAAGCACAGTGAGTGACGCCACTCAACTCGCAACTCGCACACCCATTCATTATCCTTTCTCTCCCTCTCCTCTGTCTGCCTGTCCTGCCTGACTGACTTGATGGGCAGTCGCTTGTAGACATTGAGGGCCATCCAGGTCTGCACACTGCTGTTCCACTTCTTGATGACTTCCCGGATGTTCTGCGACCAGTCAAGCGTCGGATTGTACGTCATAAAAACGTCATTGTTCACGCCGTTGAGCGCGCTCGTGTCGCAGCCTGCACATACACACACACACACACGCACGCACAGGTGCGTATGTCTGACTGCCTGTCTGCCTGGTCACAATGTGGCGGTCCCTTACCGACGCCAGCTGCTGCACACGTGCACTCGGCAATGAACCAGCAAAACAGAATCTCGGCCTTCTTGACCAACAACACGATGTTGATATAGAACAAACGATACCTGACATACGCAGCACAGATTCGCCAATGTGCCCATCTGCAGCCTTGTTTTGATGGCTGCAGCAGCAGTCCTCACCAGAATGAGTGCTCCAGAAAGGCGGGCTCGAGCACGGCCGCCACATTGAATCGCGGGAGCAGCAGATAGGCCAGCCAGTGCATGGAGCACTCATATCCCCTCTTGAGCAAGAAGCCGCCGAAGTTCCTGGCCTTGGTGTTGGGGTTGTCGAACGTGTCCTGCACGGCCCGCCAGCTGAGGGTGGGGCCACTCCAGATGCCGGGGAAGAACAGCATAAAGCTCATGAAACACGTCAGCGGCGGGACGGCCTGCGAGTCCTCCGCGTGGAAGGCAAACGTACCCAACCTGACGCACACCGACACACAGAGGGGGGATCTGATCTATATAGGTATCTCTGTGCGGTGCGCATCCCATCGCAGGTCTCTCTCGTCTCTCTCGTCGCGACGGGGCGGGAGGGAGGCGATCCAAATACATACCTGAGAGTGAACATGTAGAAGGCCAGATCTCCCGAGATCGGCAGGTGCAGCCAGCCCATCATGGCCTTGATCCGCATCAGATTTGCAAAGCAAAAGGCCAGGGCTATCACCACGCACCCCGCCATCCGCCGTCTGTAGAGCAGCCGCGTGAGGCCATAGCAGACGAGCGAGAGGAGGATTGGCATCCAGACGGCACTCTGGAACATCAGCACCCATATTATGGCGCCGACGAGGGATGAGAAGAGCCGCCGTGACGATGTGGGCAGGGCGGGCAGCGCAAAGGAGAGGGAGAACGCGCCGAAGAGAGTCGCGGGATAGAGAAAGGCAGGCTCAGACAACGCAGAGTGAGAGAGAGGACCTGGTGCCTCCGCAATGTCGGCGCCCTCCATCACTGGCGCGGGCCTTCTCACCCCTGGCAGCCTCTCTGGCGACACACACGGCCGCTTGCACTCCTCACCGCCCTCGGGGGATCGCACCTGACGCAAACTCCAAGATGGCTGGCGCTAGCCCAGGGTTGCCCAAGATCCAAGATTTAAGATCCAACCAAGCAACAAACACTAAGCTCGCGTGGCAGGAGGTGGACGGCGCGCTCTCTCCCGAGCTGAATGGTATCAAGGCTTCATTGCTCTTCCCGTTGCTGGTCGTTCTCGTCGTCGGAGGGAAGGTGATGGTGCAGCTTGTGGGACAGTCAATCGGAGCCGTCATCAGCTTCCTGACGTCCGTCAGCGAGATTCAAGACGAGACCGTCCTCATCGGCAGCCTGCTTTTGTTCATCCCCCTCGCCGCACTTCTGCCGCACATCAGAGAACCCGCCTATAGGAGATGCTACTCGTCTGCCATCGGAGCTGTGATGGTCATTCTGCTGTTCGGGGACGAGCTGTGGTGCTTCCTGGCGCTGGTCATCTCGGGCTATGTGCTCACGAGGTGGCTGGCGAATGCACGCTGCTCGTGCACAGGCTTCGCTGTGGTCGGCCTGTGTTTCACTTTCGCCAACATCGTCCGGCTGCTGGCGTGGAAGGGATTCATCACCCTGTCGCTGCGGAGCGACGTGGCGTTCTACATGCTGACTCTGCGGCTGGGGGCGTTTGCCTTCCTGACGCAGGACAACACCGTGGGGAAGCAGCAGTGGACGATGCCGTCATGGCGCGACTTCTGCGACTTCATCCTGTTCTTCCCATGCATGTGGTCGGGCCCCAGCCTGACCTACCCCCTCATCATGGACACACTCACGCAGCCCGCCCCCCCATCCCCACCGTCACTCGCTGACATGGCCACCTTCGCCGTCCACAGGGCGTTCGACTCGGGTCTGCACTTCTTCGGCTACTTTGTCCTGGTCCCCCTGTTTCCCCTCAACGGGCTGCTGTCGCCCTCCTTCCGCACGGCCCCTCTCTGGTGGCGGCTGGCGTATGTCTGCGTGCCGGTCTTCGGCAAGAGGTGCCAGATCGTCATGGCCTGGTACTTCGCCGAGGTGGCGTGTTTTGCCGCCGGGCTGGGGCTGCAGAAGCAGGGCAACAAATACGCCTACCTGCACATGGGGCTGCTCAGCGCATTCACAAGCGGTGATGCGCTGGGGGACGACCGCAGCCCCGTCAATGTGGGCAGCAGGAACAGCAGCGACGAGAAGCTCAGCGAGCGGCGGGGCGACTTCCTGGCCTTCGACTGGCGCGTGGAGATATCGGAGGACATGCGGCTGCTGGTGCGGCGGTGGAACACCAGCGTCCAGACATGGCTCGCATACAACGTATACAAGCGGCTGCCAATCAGGTCAGCTCGGTGGGACAAGACAGGGTCCCAGAAACACTTCATGTTGTGTCGATGGCGTGGCCATCCATGCCATATATCAGGAGTAAGCTGGTGAAGCGTCTGATCACCCTGACGGTGGGTGCATTCTGGCACGGCATCTCGCCGGGCTTCTACATGTCCTTCTGTCTCTATCCCTTCGCCGACTTCTGTCAAGAGCTGGCTGGCTGGCATGCAGTCTGGCCGGGCGAGTCGCTGCCCGCACTCAAACTGCTCATCAAACTGGTAAGTAACCTCACACACACACACACCTGACACATGACAGCTCATGTGGGCGAGTGTGTGCAGGTGCGCGTGTTGGGTACCCAGATCTTGCTGAACAGTCTGTTGCTGCCGTTCGTGCTGCTGGATTTCCACTCGTCTCTGCTGGCGTGGTATCACTGCGACCTGCTGCCCTTCTGGTTCATGGGCGCCCTCCTGCTCTTCGGCATGGCCAGGAGCGCACTGGCGGGGCCGACATATGGATCGCACAAGCAGAAGCAGCAGGCGGATGCCGCAGCTGGAGCTGCAACTGCCCGTGGGCTGAATGGGCGTGAGAAGGACATCAAAGGCAGCTAGCTAGGTGGCCAGCTCTGACCTGACCTCTGACAATGAGGGTGCCACTGGTGGGATTGCCTTCTCGCTCTCTCGCTTTATTGCTGGCCGGCCGATTGCCGGCGGTGGGTGTGGTGTAATGTATTGGTGTTTGTCGGTCGGTCAGCCAGTGAGCCGATGACGAGAGAGTGAGAGAGCCACTGACTGTGTCGTGTGTGTATAACTATAGCTATTTTCAGCTACCGCACTAGCTAGGGACTGTGGATGGAGTGAGGCCGGTGGGCACTGGGCTATGTTTGTGTGGACACTGACACATAGATTGGACACATAACGAACGATCTCTCATTGCATCGTCTGTCTGTCTGTCTGTCTCTGTCTGGGCGGGACAAGCCGACTGACTGACTCACCCACACACCTCCCAAGTGCCGTGCCCGTCTTATGCTTATCCATCCATCCCACATATGAAGCTGCCATGAGTCTCCCGCAAATACTCAGCCAGCAGCTCAAAGGCGTATCGCAGTGGGGGCAGCAGGGGCAACACCGGCGTATACGCAACCTCCTGGTGTGGCTCATCCGGCGAGAACTGACACACCCGCACCCCACACACAAAGGGAGTACATGTAGCTTTGGGCACGTGCCGAGTTTTTTGCCGCTGACCTGTATGTAGAAGCTGTGAAGGTACGCTCTCACTACCCGCCAAGAGAGCCCCTTGGCCACGTGCCGTCTCTCTGGCTGTGTGGAGGGCAGGGCCGCGCACGTGCGGATGGCGGCTGTCACATCCAACAACCACGCCCACGAAGATGCGGGCGCCCGGTAGACGGAGGGGCTGTGGTGGGGGCCCGCCACACACTCATGCAGAGCGGACGCCAGCTCGAACACGGCAGTGTGGAAGAGGCTGTCATGGAGACCATAGCGGAGACACGCGTACACAATCTGACGGACACAAAAGCAAACAGGTCACTCATGGGCGGGGCGCAGAGAGAGATAAAGATGCGGTCGCTCACCTGGCAGAGCAGGATGCACCAGTCGAGCCCCTTGAGGCCGGCGCACCGGATGCGCTGCCCGTAGAAGGTGGGAATGATGGCCTTCCAGGCGTCGCTGGAGACAATGTCGTCACTCTCCACCTGGTAGGGGACCCGACTATGGGCCTCGTCGCTGTCCGCGAGCATCTGGTGGAGGGGAGGCGGCATAGACACGATCAACAGACGGGTCGGGTGAGCATGGTGCAATGGTCCTGACCTGAGCGAAGACCGAGCTATGTCTCGCCATCACTGCAGAGTGGGCGTGCACGGCTTCCTTCCTCCCGCCAGTGTGCATCTTTTCGCGACGCCCCTCGTGCCGTATGGGTGCGATTATCGTCAGATCCTCAGCCACGGGCAGGGCAAACGGCACAGACGGGGCAGGGGGCATGCTGTCCATGTCCGGGGCGACCGGGGGCGACACACACATGTCTGATCAATCGGGATGACGGAATCAAACAACGGCCGAAACGTTGTGTGTCTCGCTTGGTCGCTTACCCCATGCCAGCCGTCCTAGTGGAGTGAAGCCGCTGTCGTCCTCAATCGCCAGGCATCGGAAGAATCGGTGCACATCGACCAGGCGGAACACGTCAAAGACGTAGAAGTTGCGGGTGCTCGAGGCCACATGGAGGATCGTCTGGCCCGCCGTGTTGCGGTGGAGCAGCAGGTCGGGGCTGCACTCGTGGGTGAGGTCGAACAGCTCTGACAGCAACCGCTTGGCGGCCTCGCGCATCACGAGGAGAGAGGACTCCTCATACTGACAGAAAGGGGGCGAAGGAGAAGGCAGGGACACATAAAAGGAATAATGGGGAATAGTCGTGCCGTCAGACAGGCTTACCACGACGGAGCGGAACCGTGCACTCATGAGGTGAAGGACGGTGTGCCCGTATCTGGGATGTCTGAATTGGACGACGGCCTCGTCACCCCTCGTCAGGAGGTCGAGTGCGATGTCGTCCTTCCCGGCCTCGATCGCCGCCCACAGATATGGCAATCCATCACCGTCCAGCCCACTCGGGTTGAACGACAGCTGAGCCAACGTGGCCTGGTCGCCCTGCACACAGCCGGAGAAAAGAGACAGAGACCTGCATGAGCCTCACCGAGACCTGTGCAGGTGCTGCCCTACCGATGTGATGGCATCCATGACGGCTCTCTCCATCTTATTGCTCCCTCCCCTCTCCCCCTGCCCATCCGCCCGCTCTTCACTCTCAAACGTCGCTGGCCGTGTCAGTTCCTCGCTCCGAGACCCGCGGGCCGACCGGGCGACGGACGAAGAAGGGACAGGGTGGGGGGAGGGGGACAGATCAGCTGGCGATGTGGCGTCCAAGGCGGCAAGTGATGCACGATTCCCCTGAAAGACAGACAGACAAAAAAAAGTGAAGACAAGCAAGTGGGTGTGTCGTGTCCAGCTGCGAAGTGACGTTCTCCATCATTTCTCGTGAATGAGTTCTTACGTGGTTTCTCTTCAATGCAGCTCGCTCTTGGACTGTGTCCTTCTGGCGACAGCCCCTCACAGGATCTGTCTCATGGCCAAGGGCACCACTACCGTAGCTATTTCGCTCTTGGTGCGACATGGGGGTGGGCGAGGCCGCAGTCGGAGGCCATATGGATGGATGAGACGTAGACTGGTGCTGCGATGGGTTGCTGAGGAAGTCTCGCTGTGCCCTGATGCGACCGGCTACCGACTGATCGTGGCCAAAGGGGGCTATCTGGACATACACCTGAGTGACGAGACACCCCGTTTCCATAAGTGAGACACGAAGAGATCTCTGTCTTCCTCTGACGTTGATGAGGTTGGTGTTGAGAAAGCCGTCGAGGAACTCGGAGTGCAGCTCCATTGCCTCGGGCAGGCACTCCGGCTCGCCAAAGGGGTCCTCAAAGGCATCCACACACCGATCGAAGAGCCGTGTGCTCTCTTCGCTGGCCCGATAGAACAGATCCATTGCAACAGTCCCTGCACGACAATAAGCATTACAGCAATCACATCGGCTGACTATGGAGAGCTTCACCTGGCTCCTTACCAGCCAGGGCCTTGCGCATGTCCAACTCCAAGTCCACGCCAATCCGGTCGCCAGCAGCACGCAGCTAGGACGCACGAAATACAATACACACGGCGACAATAGCGATCGTCTGAGGAGTCGTCCTTCAGTGCTCACCTGTTGGTTGACACTAGCCTGCAGCTGCTCTAGATACTGCCAAGAGGTGAGAAGGCTCACCAGGACACCAACAGGCGAGACCGGAGAATCCTGTCGGTTTGTCGGACAGAAATCAATGTCATTTCGTGCAAGTTGTGAGGTGTCTGCAGATCTGAGCCTTGCCCACTCGTCTGCTCAGTAGCTGGTTTGCCTCGTCCACACTGTGGTTGTACGTGGCGATGGCGTCCAAGCAGTGCTGCAGCGTGGAAAGGTCCTCCGCAGGAAATGACGCCTGCACCCCCAAAGGCAACAAGGCAACACATGATAGTCTCGCATCTTGACTGCCACTCTAAGGCCGCACCTTCTGGAGCATGTCGGTGCGAGTAAGGCTTGCCTGCTGGCGCAAGCACGCTGCACGACTCGCCCAGCTCCTCAGCTGTGCCTCGTTCCATAGAACCGAGCTGGAACGAAACCCCGCGAGGAACACCATTGCAATCGGAGGCAGCCCAAGGCATGGCGACCGTCTTATCAGGCGTATGTACCTATCGGTGAGTTCGTGTTTGAGGTCGGCGATGGCTGCTTCAAGAGATCGCACCCTGATCATTAGAACACACAATGTAATGTACGCTTGAATTCGTCTTTTTTTCCTCGTTTTGCCGGGCCCACCTTGCCAAGTGCCCCAGAAAGGGTTGCGAAGCCGTATACCCCTCGTCTGTGGACACCGCATGCCTCTGTGTCAGCGAACACATCCCCCCTCACCGCTTGCCGATCTTACCTTCTCGCGACCGCATCGCTGAACGGCTACGATTGATAAGCTGCATGCCGACATGGTGTGTGCGATACGTATCAGCCAGCTGCCGTGGTGCTGGAGTTATCGAGCGCATCGGACCGTGTGGCGGGCCCCAAATGAGTGCCGGCCCCCACCGATAGCTCGCCCAACATTATCCCCTCGGTGCCGTCCCGCATTAATGGCTTTCAGAAGCCCGCTAACGGACTATCCATTCGCAGTAAGCAGGGCAGTCAAGCCCCATAAAGAGAAAGGGCGCAATAGGTTTGTCTCGTGTGTTGATGGTTGTGTCTGTGCTGATGGTATGTGTCTGTGCTGATGCAGAGCTCAACGGTCATACTGCCCGGGGAGGACATCGATTGCAGCGAGTGTGAGCTGTTCGGCAAAAAGGACGACCCCACAAGCTGGCTCATCGAGGAGCTGTGTCTTCCCCCGCCTCTCCCCCTCCCCCTCAATGCTCACACACAAAGAAGCAGCAGGGCCTCAACGCGGCAACGCAAGGGAAGCGGAGCCCAGCCGTCGCCAAGGGACCATCCTTGGCCCTCGTGGCACCGATATGTCACTCACGAGACCGGCAGCCCGCCTCTATGGATTCTGATCTGCTGCAGTATGCCGTACTGCTGCGGGGCGGTGAAGCATGTGAGTGCCAGTGGAGCGGGTAACAGCAAGGAGGAGACAGAGAAGAAATCCAGTGACGGAGAGAAGTGCCGGTTGCGGCAAAATGGCCCAGTCGGTCCGAGGGCTGGGGATAATTACATGTGCCCCCATCCACGGTCGCGGCCGAGACACAGGGAGAGGGGATGGCGGGAGTGCGACAGTGGTTTGAGCAACGAAGATCCGTGACAGATGGACAATTCGGGTGTCATGCCTGCCGGTGCCTCATGTGGGCAGTGACTGAGTAATAGAAGGGACAGTCATGTAGCCAACTTCAACGCAATCGGTCAAGCCTCTGTCGCTCTCTGCACTGCACCCGGACACAAGATCAACACGATGCATGCATGTGTGTGTGTGTATGTATGTGTGCATGCCCTCCCAACCTCTCGAGGTATGGCGGCTGGTGCGTTGAATTAAGACAGAGTGAGTGAGAGCGGTGAGCACACAAATTCCACCGTACGTATACACTTCACCCACAACACCGCGGCAGATGTGAGATGCACTGGACACATCCTCCTAGTCATTCGATGGCGCCAAGTCTCTCTGACCCAACAGACAAACATACGGTAGTCTCCGACCACAAACGCCACCAAAGTCTCGGCAGACCGACAGAAAAAGCTGACTGACTATCAGTCAGACATCCCATGAGTACGACAGCTCTTAGACGAAAAAGAGCGACACGAGACTAGCTACTAGATTGCACCGGCAGGCATGAAGTGTGACATGCCGCAGTGCAGCATCCACTGCGGCAAGGTGGTGTCTTCCGTCAGCTTGACCTGCGGTACCTTGTGCCCCGACTGCCACTCGACGGGTGCGATGGGCCTCTCCACCGCCATACCCTCACTGTCCTTGCGGCCGCTCCATGTCCTGTTGATTGATGCCAACCAACCAACCAACCAGCCACACACAGTGACGATGGAATGGTGGCATGCACGAGATATACAGCTTGTGTGTCTGCCCACCCGCTAGGAAGAAGCGTGCCTTTGACGGCCTTGTCGTTCCGCCACTCGCCAGAGAACCACAGGACACGATCGCCATCCCAGTGTGTGAAGTACGCCTTGCCGCCACCGTGGCGGAGGCCGTCCTGCCACTCGCCACTGTAGACGAGCTGCCCATTGGAGTTGGACTCCTCGCCGTGGCCGTGCCGCTTGCCACGCGTCCACTCGCCGCTGTAGATGACGGCGTCGCCGTACTGGCTATCGAACTCCTGACCCTCGCCATGCCGCTGGCCATGTTGCCATCCGCCCTCATAAACCTTGACCATCGTTTCGCCATTGGAGGCGAACTCCGTCCCCTGCCCGTCGCGCTTGCCGTCCAGAAAGTCACCCTGACAGACACAGACAGATAGACGCACATACATCCACACACAGGCAGACGCATTTGCTTGTGTCCTTCGCTCCCCTGACTGCCTTTCGTTGCACCCCGTGCACCGCTGACTGACCTCGTAGATCAGCTGGTCCTTCGTAGCCCACTCGTCAATCATCTTGATGTGGCTGAACTCCTGCCCTTTGCCGTGATAGTGGCCGTCCTTCCACTGCCCTTCGTAGAGCTTGGTCTCGCCGTCCGTCGCATACAGCACCCCCATCCCGTTGGGCAGCTCATTGACCAGTGTGCCGTGGTAGAGCCCACCCTCATGGACGATCTCCCGCGGAGTGGGGACATGCTGACTCGGAGCATGAGCAGCGCGTGCGCGGAGCTCTCTGAGCTCGTCCTCAGCCCGTTCACACCGGCGCTTCCAGTCGTCGCGCTGTCTTTCCAGGTCCGCGACTCGCTCATTGTAGGCGTCCCTCTGCCTGTCCGCTGAGCAGCGAAGCTCATTCAACATGTCCCGCAGAACATCGTCGGAGATGGTGTGGCAGGAAGGCGGATTCTCGGACATCGAAAGTCCTGCGCGCAACAAAACAGCTGAAACACACACGCACCAGCTTGTGGCAGCGTACGCTACGCACCTTGATGATTCGTCGCGACTCAGAGAGGACAGCCGCTGAGCAAAGATCTGTGCTGCTGATGCGCGGATCGTCGCTTCGAGCTCGCACGGCCCCCACAAGGCCCCCCCCCCCTCCCCCCCCCGGGTATAAAAATAAATCTCTCACGCAATTGTTCCGCCTCTGGTCACGATGAGCCACTCGAGATCAGCAAGCGATGACTCCCTGGACCCCGAGTGAGCGACCCGCCAAATGGAACACGAAGAAAAGGAAGGGCAGATGCATTTGTGTTGTCCTCCTTTCCTCGTGCTGCAGTCGAGCCCTCGACAACGACCACCAGCATATGCTGGCGGAGACGCTGGGGGATGAAGGCCTCTTTCGATTCCGGGGGGCATACGAGCGACTCTGGACGGAGTTCCAGAAGACGAGAGCCAACGAGCAGCACCTGCAGGAGGAGTAAGTCTAAGACAGAAAGCGACACGAGACAGGCAGGCAGGCAGGCAGGCAGGCAGAATTGCTGTCTTCCAATATTTTCGTGCAGGTGTGACAGTCTGAAGGCAGCTCAGGCCCGAGAAAGACGGAGAAGCTCTCAGTCAGAGAGCGCAGCCGCCATGAGTATGCAGCAGCAGCAGGACACGTGTGTGCCACCTACATGTATCTCGTGGCCTCCTTCTGCGTGAGCTTACAGGCAGTGAATACGACGAGGTGGTGAACAAGCTGGAGAGCGAGCTCAAGGAGAAGAGCACAGCCGTACGAGATGCCCATCGGAGCATCGCAGCGTTGCAGCAGCAAGTGGAGGCCGCGGAAGAGGATGCCGCACACTACAAGACCCAGGTCGATATTATCAAGGAGGAGGGAGACAAGAAAGCGGCAGAGAGCAGGCGGCTGAGGAATGAGGTGACGGCTCTCCGCAAGAAAGACCAGCAGCCCCCCCCCATACCGCCTCTCGGCATCGACAGCCTCCCTTCAGCAGCCGCCAGCTCGTACAGCCCCAGGAACATCGATCGTACTACGCCGCGTGCCAGTCAACTACTACAACAACTGAAAGTGAGACAAGAGGGAGACAGGAGCATTGTTTGTGTTTTTCATTTCTCTGTATGCCCCCATCAGGACGTCAATGATGACCGGGATAAGTATCTGCGGCAGCTACAGGCTCTCAGAAGCAGGAATGAACAGTTGGAGGCGTCCGCTGCTGAGCTTCGTGCAATGGTGAAGGCGTCCAAGACACAACAAGTCAGCACACCTGAGCTGAGCTCTGAGCCGCACAACGGTGAGACACAAGCTTAGATCGGTCGACGAGACATTGATTGCGTGTCTTTTTGTCAGGCGAACGTTTGGATGAAACTTTGATGCGTGCCGAGAGTCTGGAATGCCAAGAGGCCTTAGAGGAACAGCGGGCAGCCAATAGACGCTCATGTCAGAGGTCGAGGTAAGCAAAGTAACACACATATGGGAAACAAGCGATGTGTCCACGTATGCTTGCGCGACGCGTTGCACGACTGTACAGGAGTGACGCGAGAAAGTTCGTCTGCTGGAGTCCATGGTTGAGGGTTTGAGGGCCAAACAAGGCGGCGAGCACGTTGCTGTGAGCAAAAGCGAATGGACCCATTGGTGCATCATCATGTCCTGTCCTGTCCTGTCCTTCAGGGATGGGGCGATTTGTTTTGTTGCACCGGTCGGTCCAAGTGCTGTGGGCGCGAAACACGCTGTCGATCGTCATGCAGGTGAGACACTGTGCTGAAGTGAAGGGAAAAATCTGTATAATCCTGCCTGATTGCAGCCCCTGCTGCATGCGGTCGTCCCGGCGCCTTGATGAAGGCAGTGCGGCACAGGGCAGCAGTGACAGCGCCGGCACCAGGCCTTGGTACGCGGTGCTCAGTCAGGGATTCCAGTGTGTCACTCACTCACTCGCATGCACACCTTTGCTTGCTGAGTCAGGTACGCGGTGCTCTTTTCTCCAAGCGAGTGGTTCGGGGCGCAGGGGGGTTGAGTCGAGTCGAGTTAACGATGTGTTACAAGATTTAGCCGCCTTTACTAGTGCGTGTGCCGAAGTCGATGCCAAATTTGACTAATTTTCAGGACTTGACTATTGTGCTGTCAACACCGCTATAACAGCCAAAGCCAATGCACTAAAGTTGCCTTAATTCCAAGCACTGACACACATCACGTTGCTTTTGGTGATGTCTCTCGCTCTTTACTTGCATGTGCTCAGCGATGCCGCGCTGCCATGCGAGTGAGTGAGTGAGGGGCACACTGGGATCCCTTACGTCTCATGCAGACGTCTCACCTGATGGAAGTTTCGCTTTGATGGCCGACAGGGCATCAGAACGAAGATACGTCATCATTTATTTGCTGTCCATTGTACAGGAGCGAGAGACGTGTCACATAGGGCAAACCACATCAGGCGGTAAGCTGGCTACGTGGCCAAAACACTTCAGAATCTCTCCCTTGGCATGTGATTGGTCCCTTTGGCGCTGCAGCAACGGGCAAAAGGATGAGAGTGCCTACCGACGCTGACATACGTCTGTCGATGCCAGGAGTGACATACTGGTCTGTGTGCTTTCGGTTCAAGCAAGCTAACGTGCATCGCTGATTAATACAGATAGGGGGGCAGGTGGGATATCTGTCTTTCTCCTTATGGCAACCACGAGGAAGAGAAGAGTCCATCTGGCCGGATGGAAGAGTGGCAGAGCGCGAGAAAGCCCCCCCGTCCCCCTTTCCCAGTGAGCCACACGTGTGGATGATCATTCATCTCGACGAATATGAATGAATGAATGAATGAATGTGGATGAGTCAATGGATAAATTGGCGATCGAATATGGCCAGCAGGGATGGGGCAGCGACGCTGGACCTCTGAAATTACAAAGAAGGAAGTCTTTTTCCACTTGAGCTCGCAGGAAATGGAGTCGATTTGAGTCCGGCCCTTCTGGAGTAGCCGAAGAGAAGTTTCACCCATCCTGAAGTCAATCTCTGTCCATATCGATTCGGAGCGTCCAACTCGTCACTCATCCCGGCCCGTCTGTTGCCGCTGTTATCCCTCTCTCGCCGTAGAGCCCCGTATCAGCCATGGGGGCGTCGGCGTCCAGCAGCAAGGACACAGCAGACGGCATCCACAAGCCAACAGAGAAGATGAGCGGCCGGCCGATGCTGCTCAATGCCGGCGGCTTCGTCATGGCGTTCCCTCGGGATGTGCTGCTGCGCGAGGGGCTGCGGGACACCTGCCTGGCGGTGCTGCTGAACCGCTTCGACAGCTGGATGATCACAGACGACAATCGCATTCACTTCATTGACGCAGACCCCTTCTACTTCATCTGGTGAGGGTGAGGGAGGGAAGCAACACGATGGCTGACAGGCAGCAGCACTCGCCGTGTGTGTGTTCAGGTTGGCTGAGAAGCCGCACTGCCTGAGCTGCAGCCGCATCGACGTGAGTGAGATCATCGAGGGCTGCCCCGCACTGGCCTTCTACCACAACCGCTTCTTCGCCAAGACGGCCGTCACCATCGAGCCGCAACACGGTGACCACGACAGCGAGGCGTTCCGTGGCTTCATGGCCGTCATGGGGCCCTTCATCAGCTCATCGGTGGCGGGCGGGACGGGCGGCAGTGAGGTGCTGAGTGTGC